CCGCTGCGGATGTGCGCTGCGACATGGAAAATACAGAGGACCTTTTCCTACCACGAAGCAAACTCTTAAGCCTTGTGAAGCTCACGCACGGTCAACTGTTGCAACATGCACCAGACACGAGTGTTTCATTAGTCTGTGCCAGAATGCATAATTCCAACATCCAACATCCACTTGCAGTAAATCTTTCGTGGAAACAACTATGACTATAACTATACGATACTGCATCACGCAAGACACAAGCCAAAACTCATCCACATGCCCTGCGCCCTACACAGTCATTGATCGAATGATGCAGCCAAGCCACGCAACCTGAAGGCCGAAGCACATCGCATGGGATGCGTGCCGTTCCGATAGTCCGGTGTCGCCAAAGACTTCTTGAAGTTGCATGCTCGCCAAGTAGGGAGACATGGAGCACTCTTCCGCTGCCACATGACCCTGGCATGGACATACCGTGGCTCGGAAATACTTTTCGCAGCCGAATGCTCTCGATGTGCAGCAGGCAGGTCCAACAAAGCACTACAAAGCACAACTGCGTGTGGAAGCCCTAAGGGACGCTGACCCGCGGTGACACTGGCATCTGAGCTGCATTTGCAGCTCAGCTGCTGTGAAGATCTCTAGTCTAGTCGAAAGCCAGGGCCACGAAGCGGTGCCGCATACTCGGCACCGGCAAAGAGCAGAGGATGTGAGAGGCTTCTGCTAGATGGGAACAGGGCGGCGGGGCGGCCTGGCAGGGAAACTGAAACCTTCGCATGTCTGACTATCCCTCCGCGCCAAGCGCTCCGGGGTTAGAAATTCACCACGTCGGACTGGCGAGAACTCACCCGGTGCTGTGACACCGTCGCTTCACTGGGCATACTCAGCGGCTGAGCCCTGCACTACACCAGCAAGCTTGAACCCCTCCGTGTTGTGGATCAAGTTTCCGGGAAAGGGCTGTGGCGTCGGTTGTATGGCAGGGAGGGCCATGATCCAAGCATGTGCCGTCGATATTATCCTTTTTGCAACAGTCACGGCAAGTCACAGAAGAACAGCAAACACCCGCTCTAACATGTCGTAAGGTCCTATAAAGCCTGGAGACCGTCAGATCAAGCGGTTCTACCAGCGCCCTTTAAGTCCCCAAAGACCCCCCGCCCCGTCCTCAAGGCTTGGTAGAGGATCTCCCGAGCATCCTGGGAAAGAGCTCTGACCACGGCGGGAAAAGCGCAGCTGCGGAATCCAGGGACCCCACTTGCTGGTGAAGCTCGTAGACACCGAGCTGCGGAGGAGGCGGTGCCCTCATGGACTGGCAATGAGCTGATGTCTAGGCCAGGCCGTCTCGTTCGGGCCCCGGCGGCTGCACGTCCTGTTCGCCCTCAGCCTAGGGGGTCTTGGCGTTGCAAGTGCCCTCCAGGCGCCCTCCGGTGCGGAGCCTCCGTGGCGATGAGCAGGGAGCTACTGCAGCGCTGCTCGAAGACCACCTGCGCGACAGGTCAGGTTACACTCCAAGCTGCTTGCACACGCAAGCGCACGCTTGCACACGCTTGGACATTGCTTGCACCATCTGCCCTGGGCCAATTGCACATGCAACACGGCTGCCCACTGACTTTTTTAAGCACTTTCGGTCTTTACCGACTTCTCGTCTTTCTGATGCGCGGCGACTGGCGTGGTCGGCGCATTGGCGGAGCCGGGGAGATTGGAGGGTGTCCGCGGTGGAGCACCTGGGGTGAGCGGCGGTGCCCCTGCGGGGGTGAAGGGCTGCGCCTGCGCGGGGGTGAAAGGAGCTGGGAAAGCTCCGAAGGGGGTCGATGGTGCTCCGGCTCCGACTCCACCTGCCCCTCCTGGGGTGAAGGGGTTGATGTTCGGAGTGAACGCTGCGGGGCCGGCGAGCCTCAGCAGGCACGGCCAAACCCCCCCCCATCCTACCGGTCCTGCCGGCTACAGCGGCTACGGCATGTCATCCATTGCATGGTCCACTCATGTCCAGCACTGAAGTCACCAAGCAGGTGCCGACCAACTGCAAGGGCGCAACCTGGAGGATTGACTAATTCACCAAATGCAGCCGAGCCTGAAATCGTGGCCTCTCTGCGCGACTATGATCAAACCCTCCCAACCCCCTCAAAACGCAGAAGCCGTTCAGACATCCTCAGACCTCGATCGCAGCACCTGAGTCAAACCGTAGCCTCACCGGGAGCTGGGCCCCGGAGGCGTCATGGAGCCCTTGACGCCCTGGCACACACGGCTGTGAAATTTAAGGGCTCCAAATGTTTCGAGGTCAGGCGTCGCAGAATGATCTTCTAATATCTTACAGTGTCAGTTATGGTACTAACTCCTACACCAATTGCATATACATGTACATATACATATTCATACACACACATATAATAAATACATATATATATATATATATCTCTCTCTCTCTCTCTCTCTTATACACATGTATATGTATATGTACATATGCCCCCCGCCTGATGTGCCCACATTTTGGGTGTTTGAAGGAAGGGTAACCCGGAGTCAGGATTCAAACGTGCGAGCAATGTGGGGATTCTTTAGACAAATCTTAGACAATGCTGGAATCCTGGTGTCATTTCCAGCATGTGTTTGGGAAACAAAAGAGTTCAAAGAAGTGTTCACAGCTTATATTATACTGGATTATAATTGGCTCAACTTTGCTACCTGGATTGGCATGTCCTGACAACTTGTTCTTTTTTAGGGTATTGGCTTTGCAGAAGAACATGTGTCTGAATCTACCATGATGCCACATCTCATGGAGTAGTAGGACAAGCTATCGTAACACCGAACATTAGATTCGATAGAAATATATGTGTGTCTATATAAAGACAGATAGAAAGATATATACATATATATAGATAAAGATATAATATATATATATATACAGATATATAGATATATAGATATAAGCATATATATAGGGAGAGAGAGAGAGAGATAAACATGTATATATATATATATATGCAGATAGGTATCTATGCAGACATGTAGACATACAAAAATATAGATACATAGAAGTGGTGTGTATACAGAAGATACATATGTATAGATTACACATATATAGATATATAGATATAGAACTATAGATATAAAGATATAGATATAGATATATATATATATATATACATATGTATATAGATATAGATATAGATATAGATATAGATATAGATATAGATATAGATATAGATATAGATATAGATATAGACATAGATAATAGATATAGATATAGATATATATATATATACAGATATATATATATATATAGATATGTATAAATATATATATATATAGATATGTATCGATATATGTATACATAGATAGAAATATAGATATGTAGATACATATATATATATATATATATAGATTCAGATATAGATATATATATATAGAGAGAGAGAGAGAGATCTATAGATATATATATATATATGTAGCTTAGAGATTAAGTAATGGATGCCACATGCATCGTCAATTATCGATAAAACCGGTAGGATTGCATAGCTTTCTGCATGAGTGACAACAAAATTCATTCGTTGACACGGGTTCTCAGCATTTCGTTTGCATCGGCCTTGTACAACACAGACGCAATGTCGCAATACTACCTGCAGTGACAGGAGTATTAGCAACACATTTAACAATAATATTCGGCATCGCCACTGGTATTATCATCTTTGTCACAAACGAATCGAAATAGTTTTCCACGTTGCAACTAAAGCAGCAACACCACAAGGCCCACAGATTCGCTAACAAGGGCAATGATGGTGTTCGGGTATTGAAGCAAACTTCGGCTGAGGTGGTTAACTACACTAAGATCGAACGGATGTTTGGCTACCTCGATTCAAATACCATCGAATCCAAGAACCCGTATACCAGGGCTATATTTATGCTACAGGTGTGGCAGCCCATGTTGGATGATCCGCCGGTGTCCAAAGACGGTTGTGTTGCTATGTCTAGTGCCAAGTTTAGCAAATATGAGACCGTTACTTCATGTGTAGCATGCATGTGTTGCTTCATGTTTGCCGAAATTTTGCTCACGTTTCACTCGTATACGCTTAAGACCTTGACTGTTACCAAAATATTACACAATGTACTTTAAATCACAACTAAAGTGTACGGCAACTTTTGTGTAGCGCATGTTTAGTTAGAATTCGGTCATACGTTGTTATGTAGCTGATACTTACTGTGTGCTTCATCATTACTTAGACTGCTCCTTCGGCAAAGTTCAATATTATTGAAGCAAACTCGTACATGTGCTATTGACATAATGTCCAGTAGTATCATGATATAAGTTAGGCGCATCTTCGCATTTGTTACTACTGTCTCCTTCGCAACTTTTTCAACTACGACGTCTTGTTTGATCTCTAGAACAAGGGAATTCGACTTGCACTGCTTCGCGAGCCTGCGCCGGGGTAGGAGGAGGAGGTCCGGCCGGGGTGCCGGATGCCCGCGCCTCAACTTGGATGCTTACTTTTCTCCACTGTGGCTTGTTTGTTCAACGGCCCTTTCGACCCTTTCGTGAAGGATGTCTCGGCAATCCCGGGCCAACCGAGAAGAGGCCACGAAAACCTGAGTTTCCGGGCCTGGAACGGCGGTGTGCCAGCACCTCTGCGTGCGCTCCCCTTCTAGCTGCTCGCTTGACTTGGATTCTGTTGCAAGAAGCTGGATACAGAAAGTCTTGGGCAAACTGATACTGCGCCTGTACCAAACAGTGCTAAGGTGGGCATCTGAGCTGCCAGCTGGGCATTCCATGCATTGGCCTGGCTCTGGAAACGATAGAAAGGCTTAGGTGGGCTCGGATACCTGAGGAGCACACCCAGTCGGCGTCTCCGGCGGAGGTTTCCTGGCTTCTCGCTGCTAGCGACGATCAAGGTTTCTGCTACTGCAAGACGGTCACATGTGTAGCGCAAAACTTGCACATCCTTCTGACTTGCTCAGTTCCTCCTCCTCCTCCTCTTGGAATCCTCCTCCGCCTCCTCCTCCTCCTCGGCATCCGCCGCTACTGTCTTTACTCCCCTTTGGCCAAAATGAGGTGTGAAGCAGTATATCGACATCTATATCTGCATCTCTATCTGTACCTATATCTTTATCTATCTGTATATTTGTACCTATATATATACACACACACTTCTGTTTTGACAGGTTCCTGTAAGAAAACACCTCAAAGAACAATAAACCAAAAACGTCCCCCAGAGCCGCACAGCCAACATCGCGATGCCGCAGCCCACAGCGCGGCGAGCTACCGAACATGAGACTTCATCTCGTGCGGGGTCATACTTCGCAGGAGCAGGAAGGATTATATATGTATATACAGGCTTGCAAAAAGGCTGCTTGAAGCTCTCGGAACAAGCCGTGTTCAGAAGCCCGCAAGTCCTCTTGCGACCTGTGCCGTGCTGTACTCAGCCAGGGCTACAGGGCGGCACCAAACATGCGGCAGGCACCATTGCGGAGTGTTGCCCTCAGACTTCTCATAGCCGGAGGCATACCTTCGTCAAGGCGCTCCGCCGATCTACTGTGGCAAGGTTCCCGTCTTTATTGAAACTGAGGCCCCGTGCTCCGGCATATGGAAAGGCGTGCGATTTCCACCGGGGGTCATGTTCCTGCTTGCAAACCAAACCATCCTGAAGGGCCCGATCCTGGCACCCTGAGTGCCACACCCCAAACCCGGCGTGCCAGGATTCAATCCTGCCGAGGTCTTCAGCTCGTGGGAGTTTGGGCTTCCCGGCTTGCTGGGGTTGAGGGCGAAGTATGGGCTAAATACAAACAAGCAAGAGAAAAAAGAATGAGAACGATGCAACAGAGTGCCTTTATGCCTCGTACCTTTGCATACTTCCAGGGTGATCTGTCGCTGGAACCAGCACGCGACTTGCACAATCCAGCCCTGCTCATGCCTGGTGTCATACTGCCTGCAACTCCAGGTGTCATGGCCTGTGGTTGGAGCTGATGGTGCAGACTCGACAGGGGATCGGAAACTAGAAAAATCCGCACATGGAAGGAGGGGAAAGCAGAGGCATGATTAATGTTCTGGCTCGTCTCAGTCTTGCTTGCTTGCTAGGGGCTTGAAGAGTGCTTGAAGTCCGAGTAGCGCTCTCTCTCGCTCTCTCTCGCTAGCTCTCTCTTTCTTTCACCTCTCTTCTACTTCACCCGCAGGTCAAGGCGGAGTTTTCACTTGTCCGTTGAGGGATTCGCCCTCGCTGGCTCGGCTGTGCAATGCAGCGGCAGTAGGTGGCTGTCCCACATCACACGAAAGGAACACGTCTCTCTCTCTCTCTCTCTCTCTCTCTCTGTTCTGTTCTGTTCTCGGGGGCATAGGGGACCAGTTAAGCGAATGACTCATCCCTGTTGTTAGGGCCTTTTGTGGAGACGTGAAAAAAAAACAACTGCCATCCCGAGAGAAAGGAGCCATAAAGTCAAGTTTGAAAAGTAGAAGATTTGCTTGTCTCTCTCTCTCTCTCTCTCTGATCGACGGAAGGGT